TTTATGAAATTACTCACAATAGGATGACTAAAATAGTTTCCTTTATTAGGTATAGTTGTTGCAATTCACGAAGCAGGTGAGTGAGCTTTACATGTGTGGTGGCTGGCTACTGTTCGTTTTTTTTTAAATTTTGATAGACATGACATTACACTATCGTTATGTGCATGTATACACTATACGTACACACACAAGCAAAGCTCACTCGCCTTCGTGAGTTGCAAGAACTAAAGAACAATAGAGTGTTACTAGATAGAAGACAGCGTGCAGCGGCCTCCCCTACCCGTCTGGCCAGCGGGGGAAGTGAAGTCTGAATCACCCATTTGCCTAGACGACCTATTCAACTGGTGTTCTTGCAGTGGATACTAAATGACCTGACGATGATAAAAAGAATGTGCCTTCTGGATCTTTTAAAACTTACAAATTACTCAGTTTGACACATTATTCCTTGACTTTATACCAGACAATTTATTTTTGCTAAAGGCAATAGGAGGACCGACGATCTGGTGAAGGTCGCGGGAGGTGCCTGGATGCGAGCGGCGCAGGACCGGTCTTTGTGGAAATCCTTGGGGGAGGTCTTTGTCCAGCAGTGGACGTCTTTCAGCTGAAACGAACGAACGAACGAATCTAGAGCTAAGTAAATTAGTTTCCAAAATCCCTAGCCTAAAGTTGATCTCACCTACACCTGCAGACATTGTGACTAATCAGAATAATAATAATAATAATAAACATTTTATAACGTGACTAGGATGCATTTGGCCTCGGCCCGTGCTCCTAAAGTTAACCTCTTAGGAGAGAAAAAACACTAAAATACATACAATAATAATAATCTCGACCTTACACGCCTAGAACTTCGTACCTAAGTGTTGACCTAGATTTTTAATGTCTGCATCTATGACTAATGCCTGGGAGTCAATAGACATCGGAATGTACCATCCTACCCGAATATTAACGTCCTTGGTGGGCGTAACAGAATGTAAGGTGCCACACTGCGTCTGGTGAATAGTATCGATTGCGTAATTTGATTTTTTATATTCATGTGCTTGACAGATAAGAGCATGGACATAAATATTTAGAGCACAGAGAGCCTTACTTCTTTATTTATTTTTTTGAAGATAGGTACTTCATTTTCTTGGGTGTGCTCTTTTATCGGACTATCTATCGAAGAAGCACCTATAAGGGAAAATTGATAAGGCCAGTTATATCAGCAATTAACATTAGTTAAATTATTTGGGACAAGAAAATTCTATAATGATAACTGAATGATGTGAGTGGCCGATTTTATGTCATTCGTTTTGCTTACCAAGTGTTTAAACTTTAGCCCCTTGATTAGAAAAAGTTAACTTGCGTTGATCACTAGTTTAAATTGATATTTACTATGGAAATGTCATGTAAAACCAGTGTTCATCGCACGTTAAAATTTTTACTAAAAAGGCATTATAGGAGACAATAATTTGAATAATTTAGTTTAATGCATATTCCGTAGATTTAGACACACTATAAATCAATTGAGTCACTTAACTTTTTATAAAGTTACAAAACAATAGTCACATTTCAAAACTAGAGACAGGCGTTAATTTTTTATGGGTCTTTAATCAATAATTTCCAAGTAGTCAGGCCATTTAGTCAGCTATTACACATTATCGCCCGGGGCGGGTCGTTACAGGTAAAACTGGGTATAATGTCAGTAGGTCAAAGTGCATCAAACCAATGTAGAGCTAGTAGAGCCAAGAATGTAGAGTAGGGCTGGCGAAAATCAAGATCATGATCGATATTTTGCATAAAACTTTTTTTGGTTAATTTCTATGTATATTCACGTGGAGTTTAATGCATTTCCCAGAATACCAAGGACATCATTTTATTTATTTAACTACTAGTTTTCCGCCCGCAACTTCGCCCGCGTGTAATTTTTTCTGTCACAGAAAAACTTTATCGCGCGCGTCCCTGTTTCAAAAACTGGGATAAAAACTATCCAATGTCCTTTCCCGGGACTGAAACTATCTCTATGCCAAATTTCATCAAAATCGGTTCAGTGGCCTAGGCATGAAAGTAAGACAGACAGACAGAATTACTTTCGCAATAGAAGTATAAATCGGCATGTAAATAAGTAGGTAATAAGTATAAATTGGGTATTATAAACAATTTATGTAAAGTACTGTGTATCCCGTCAAAAGTATTGTAAGTTAGTAGAATTTACGCTTTTTCTTCATATCTGTCGTAGCACCGACGTACTCAAAACAAATTATGTACCCTCTATCGCATTTTTTTTTTCAAAAGACAAAAACCTTTTTTTAAATCATACATTTAACTGCAAGAAAGATGGTTTATAAACTAAGCAGTAATTGAAGTCCGTAATAAATACATGATCGATTAGATTACAACATTAATTTTATCGATGGATTTTATGAACACAATCGAACTCTTGACACGTGGGTGATAAGTTCAAATAGAGTTATAATATTATTATGTTCATTAAGTAATCAGAGATTAATGTTAGGTGATTTTAGTAATACTAGCTTCTAACTAAAAAACTAATCAAGTGATTAGTAGATGCTCTCGGTCCAGAGGTCATTGGTTCGATTCCCAGTCTCACATTTTCCACATAATATTTCATTGAACAATTTCATTTCCAATTAATAATTAAATAAGGTTATAAAACACCTTTTTTATGTGACAGGAGGCAAACGAGCAGACGGATCACCTGATGGTAAGTGATTGACCTGTAAAACACATCTTATTTGTGATGTCTTGTGAAAAATGTTTGTGTGCGACGCAAACATTTTTTTTGTTTATTCTTTGTGTATTTCAGGGGTTTTAGATTTTTTTCTTTATTGCCTTACCTATGTGAGTTACTTGTACGCTCGTATTCACAAACATTACTATGAGGTCTCACAGTGCGCGTGGACGCACAGGGTGACACACAAACCAATCACAGAGCTCTATTCAACGCTGTGCGTTCGATTTGCTGCTTCACTTGTGTTTTAAGCATCGTTTGTGAATACGGGTGTTACTTTAACTCTCTGTCAATCTACCACTTGTCCTTGAGGGCGGAACCGAAACGGATTTTTCACAGTCTCGGATATTTTCTTCAAACTTCTTTATTTATAACAATACTAGCGGCCACCCGCGACATCGTACCCGTGGATCCCGTTTTACCCCTTTCATCTATCTTACGCGGTTGATTTTTTCATACAAATGTTTTTTCCCGCTAACTCCCGTTTCCGTGGGAATTTTGCAATATCCTGTTGTAACTAAGCTTTAAGTTTACTAAGGTACCTGCATGCCAAATTTCAAGCGTCTAACTTAAGCGGTTTAGATTTTTCATACAAAATTATTTTCCCGCTAATTCCCGTTCCCGTGGGGATTTCGGGAATTCCTTTCTTAGTGCACCTCTAAGGTACCTAAGGTAGCTTAGGTAAGCTACGTCCCTTCCAAATTTCAAGTGCCTACGTTTAGTCGTTTAGGCTGTGCGTTGATATGTCAGTCAGTCAGTCAGTTTCTCCTTTTATATATTTAGATAAGATATAATGATAAGTCATCAACATACGAGCACGCATATTGGGTAGCCTAGAGTTTAATGGGTTCTTAAATTTATTCAAGATTGCACTCATCATCATCATCATCATTTCAGCCATAGAGTCCACTGCTGAACGTAGGCCTCCCCCAATGATTTCCACAATGGCCGGTTGGTGGCGGCCTGCGTCCAGCACCTTCCCGCTACCTTTATGAGGTCGTCGGTCCACCTTGTGGGTGGACGTCCTATTGCACTAGCAATAGGGTATTAAAATTGGATACAGGGCGTAAGGAATCAGAAAAAGTGACAAACGCATTTTTGTTTACTTTATTTCACTGTCCTATCTTATGAAAGTAAATCATGATTTACAAAATATTTTGAACAAAAAACAATAACAACATTTATCAGGTACAAATAGCGCAAGTCAGAGGTCATTATTGAACTTTTTAGAGCAATTGTATGAATAATATTGTTTTTTAAAGTAAAAGTTAACAAAATTGCATTTATTTAGGAGTATTACTATCAATGACTACTTCAAATTCCTGAAAAATCAAAATCAAAATCAAAATCCATTTATTTGCTTGATAAGCGGTATTTCTATGTATCTCGATTTAAAATCAAATTAAAAAAAATCTTGTCACTTTCTATCTACAGGAATAGTGTTGTAAGAGTAGTAACAAACTCACTACTTTAGTCAGCCTTTTTATGTAGCTTTATCAAAATATTATTAACAAGCTTATTATACTTTGGTTGAGTCAAATGTGAAAATTTCTAAACCACAGTTAACCGTATCTAATCGCCTAGTTAACGCTAAATGACAAGCAGCCTCAACTTATTGCAAAATTTATAACGCGTTACATTGAATCTCACGTTTTGTTTTTGCAATTTTATTTTGAAAAAGAAAAATATGGAGTTATCTACTATTAAAAATTACATTGTATTTTTGAAGTTGATAGTCATATTATTGTTTATTTAAATTCACAAATGTGTTTATTTAAATTCACTACACGCTACATTGGGATTTGAATCAACTTCAATTGCCTGTGTATTACTTCATCATTATCATCATTTCAGCCATAGGACGTCCACTGCTGAACATAGGCCTGCCCCAATGATTTCCATAATAACCGGTTGGTAGCGGCCTGCGCCCAGCGCCTTTCTGCTACCTTTGTGATGTCGTCGGTCCACCTTAAGGGGGGCCGTCCCAAGTATTATTTACCTATTAGCTTTTTATTTATTAGAACAACAGCGATAAAAGTACTTAATATTTTTGATAGGATAATGAACGACTTTTGAATTTATTCGTAGAACATGACAAGTTATTAGGTATTGGCAGTTTGAATTCCATTTGTAGCAGTTCAATTTTGTAATTTATTTTCTAATAACATTTACTTATTCCAAAGCTGTCTACAACAAATTAACTTAGACCAAAGTATAATCTACTAATAATAAAACTATGTATGTACTAAAGTCTACTGGAACTTTAAACCTAATGCTTCAGGTACTGGAACTGAGCATTTTGTACTTGAGGTGGCACATAGCCTACGTTCTGCTGGAAGTGCGCATCGAAGTCACTTTGTTGATATTGCTGTTGTTCTTGGTGATAACTGTCGTCTGCTTCGGGTCTGTATTTGCCTGGAATCATACAAAATTAAGTATTATTAGAATTAAAAAAAATATTGGAGGACTGATCCCACCTCTCGTTCCCGTCACCACAACTCCTAATATAGTCAGGATCTATTTTATATTTGGCCACCAATGGAACCCAATGTAGATCCTAAAATTATTTTGAAGTGCTACCAAGATCCTCTTTAATTTTGGTGTTAGACTCCCAGATATTGGTATACCTACCTACAGGGCACAGAAGCTCTAAAGAAACTGTGCGTTTTATCAATTTCAGATTTACAAAGGAGTTGTGTAAGAGTAGGCGCACACCGTTGATTTTTCGTCGGCCGATATTTTAGTCGGGCAGTTGATCAGTATGGGCATGTATGGGAGTGCGCACACTACGCCGATTCAATTTGGCCGATTCTTCATACAATTTAAAATCGGGCACAACTATCGGCCAACTAAAATCAACGGTGTGCGCCTACTCTAAATATGTTTATTCTTCACTTCACATTAAATTTTTATAAAATTGTAAAATCTGAAGCGCTGAACTTTTTATTGAATCGGATGTAAATTCTTTAGTGAAATATTTAAGCAGGAACAGGTAGATATCGAACACTTACCATCATCAAATACACCGCTAGCTTCATCCTTAGCATTCTGCTCCAGCGACTTCGCAATAGCCTCAGGCAATGGGGGTGGAGTGGGGAGATGAGCCCCCTGCGCCCTGAAGCCGTTCTCGTCGGCTGTGTAGCTCACAGCGTACACTTGGCCGTCGTCTCCTGTGTACGAGTACTCGCCTTGGGCCTTCGTGCCGTCGATGGTTTGACCCACCTCGTGTTGTCTTATACCTGGAATTGACATAGGGTTTCGTTCTGCTTAGTGATTAAAAATGACTCCATGGCGTAAAGGCGCGGTGAATCTATTTGACTCTTGGCTGGGTCAATTTGGTAAACTAAAATAAAGTGTGTATGGGTGAGCTACGACAGGCACTAACAGCACAGGTTTGAAACATAATCTGCTACTCTACCTTACAAGATAACGTTAGTTTATTAAGGTAGGTTAGCAAAATACATAGTTGTAGTTTCTTACTATGAGTAAGACTGTAATGTCTATTGTGTCAAAGATACTATGCAATTTCTGGATGTTGCTAAATAACCTATGTGTATTGTACTTAACAATCTATTTTATTATGCCACTGTACCACTCTGTCATATAGGAGTTTCTTCAGTCTCAGCACTTGCCATATATTATGTTTGTCTCAAAGCGCTGGTAGGGCCCAAAAGATAAGGAGACATGTAAAGTGCCCCATAAGGGCTAGGTACCTTTTCTTTTTTATTATTTACTATATTTTGACGTTCATAAGTGCCACTTGTGGTCCTAAACTGAATAAATATTTTTGATTTTGATTTGATTTTGAATGGCCTCTAGATAAACAAGACATAAGATACAAGAAAAAACAACGAAGGACTTAAAACGGTACCCTGCACAGCTCCTTACCATTTTCAGTCTCATAGGCATACTGGTAGTTGTGGCCGTCGTTCTCCATGTTGTGGTGCAGGATCCTGGCTGCCTTCTCTCCAGAGGGTCTGCTTTGATAGGACTCTTGCTGGTCGAAACCATGTGATTGTCTGAAATGATAGTTTAATGATTATATTTCTGGTTCAAATAATAAATCATTAAGTTCACGAAGTGTAAGCTTCAAAGAACTCGGTTTAAAACGAGCTACTAAGTATGTATGAGCTTCAAAAACAACATGTCAACTTTAAGAAACTGGAACTGTACTGTAACCATAATACAACCATAAACCAACGAACGATGATGATCGTTTACCATCACATGCATTTATTTTCAGTGCATTTATCTTTTAAAGAGCAATTTTACACGTCAAAGTTCGTTTGCTATGTCAATCGGCAGTGATGATCACTTACTATTGACTCCCGATTGCCCCATTTTATTAAAGACAAAGTATCTTAGTCCTTAAGATGATTAAAATTAAGATATAATGATAAACTAACCCGGAATACAATCCCTGCTGCTGGAACTCCTGCGCATTCTGGTACAACTCCGCCGTATGCGCATAGCTCTCAATCGGCTGCACTTGTTGTAACCCTGCCTGGTGCTGGTACACCTGGGTGGCTGATGCAGCCGCCAGAATCGCGGTGATTGGTGCTAGCTGTCAATGTCAAAGGTTTCTAAATTAGGATCCTTATTTACGAGTTTATAAGGGTCAGAGTAGAACAACTGTGTCAGTGTTGAACTGGCTGATTTGAGAACTGAGGAATTCCAGTTGTATTCTCAGTTGTCAATGGATACTGCATGTGTCCAACGAATATTTTTTTCTTAATGGGTTCGGCCAATCTGATACTGACACTGTTGGGCTATAGTCCCCATAGATCTTCTCTGTTTACTAGTTTCTTCTTAGTCACACTCCAGAATCACAAACTATTATACTAAGGCTCAAATAATATTCAATCTAACGTAAAAAAACATTAAAAACATCACTTAAACTGCCCATTTCTCAGATTCTATTAACAAACAATTCACTTCACACACGAAAAATCACACAAACTTTCACTAATTTCGTTTCCCAATTAACCTTGTCGGGTAACGTACCAGTTTCATCGTGACAACAGCTGTCCAACACTCTTGGATCATGAATGTGTCTGGAATTTTCACTGATTCACTTTTATACCTGAGAATTTCTTTGTACGGGAGTTACTACGAAGTTACAATTTTTGGGGTGTCACCGTATACAGTTTGAACTTGAGACAATTTGAAAGTTGTAACAAAGAACTGAAGTTAAAACCTTCATGAGCCGCCATAAGCGTAATGAATCGACCTTTCATGACGGCATCAAGCAGCAATGCCTGCGAAAGCAGGAGGAAAGTTTCAGGTTTAATTTAAACCTGCTAGGTGATATTATTTATCTCCTCGAGTGATAACGATTTTAACAAAACTGTCTTCCCACTTCCAGACTCTACCAATCCTCGTTCGTTTATTCGTTTCAGCCAATTCCATTGCTGGACAAACGCCTCCCCCAAAGATTTCCATAACTATCGGTCCTGCACTGCCCGCATCCAGGCACTTCCCGCGATCTTCACCAGATCGTCGGTCCACCTAGTGAGGGGCCTGCCCACACTATGTCTTCCGGCACGTGGTCGCCACTCGAGAACTTTTCGCAGTCTTCATAAACTCTAAAGTACTTCATAAACTATAAATGAGGTCATTTATTTTGCTTTTAAGGCAAATATTTACTATGTAGAGAGATCTCTAGATGTCTAAAAGCTCACTTTAGAAGTTAAAAACGTCAGTATTAATAAATAAGTACTCATTAAGCTATTGTACCTAAATATTTAAAAAAAATCAACAATAAATGCCCAAGTCTGAACACTCAGTGGTTTATTTGTGAGACGTGTGCAAGTCAAGTGCGAGAACATTAGGTAATTGGTAACAGATGCACTCGCTGCACAAGTAGGCCGAGATTAGGACAGAGTAGCAACTCTCGTAGATGTTCACATGTATTTGTACTTTTGACTTTGATCACGCAGCTCAGGAAGATTTAAGGAATGCTACTGACAACGCCACTCTAGCAAAGTTTTGGGCTGACACTATGTATGTTTGTTGTCACCACGACAAGAAGAAAAGTTACTTTGGACCTGGTTAAAAAATAATGATATACCTAGTTCTGAAGAATGTCAATTACAAAATCCGTAAAGTTTTCTAAAGTAATATAACAGTAATACATATTTCAGTGAGTTCATGAATAATAAAATTTACAGAATTTTGTTTTAGCCTAAGATGTCTTTCACAGGAAGTCCAAACTGTCCAAAATTATTGAAAAGATTTTAAATTTGATTATCATACGGATTTTTTTTTATATTCTGAAAATGGGACTTCAATTTCTATCTGATAGAGAGATATAGTCTGATCTATTGGTCTCTATCTTTTTTTTTTCGTTAAAAGTCACCTATTACATAGGTAAATGCATAGGCATTTACCACGATAACACAAATCGATAAGTTCCTTTCTGAATTTTCATTTACAAGTGTAGAGCCGTATTTATTAAAATTTCTACAATAAAAATTGTATCTAACAAAATTTTTGCAGCTCTACGCTTTCATAGCTCTATATCCACTTTCTTGTAGACGCCTAGTGTTGTCTACTCATACTAAATCATATTTTGATGATTATCATTATTTCATTATTACACGATTTTATGTAACCGCTGTATTGTATACATCGTATTATAAAGATTATTTACATTGTATGCACAATGATTTAGCAGAATAGATTAATATTTGTATTTTTAAATTTTAATTTAGTTTTACGTTGTTGTTGTCAGGAATATGATGCATTAGATCATCATCATCATCATCATCATCATCATTTCAGCCATAGGACGTCCACTGCGGAACATAGGCCTCCCCCAATGACTTCCACATCGCACGGTTGGTAGCGGCCTGCATCCAGCGCCTTTCTGCTACCTTTATCAGGTCGTCGGTCCACCTTGTGGGTGGACGTCCCACGCTGCGTTTTCCGGTACGCATTAGATCGCACTGAAGTAATTATCTGTTAAAAATACAGTTTCTTGAAGCTGAAGGATAAATTTTAATTTCTTAAGTAAGCATTATGAAGCAAGATAATCGAATAAAATCATAATTTCTCAGGACTAAGTGCCCATTATAATTGCTCTTAAAAGCGTATTGCATTTTGATAATGATGAATTACTCAATAACCCAACTTAAGTGTACAGTTTTTTTCGTCTCCCTAACCAGTCTGGCCACAGCGTGGGGAATGTAGTCTAAATCCTAAATTGAAAGGTCGTCATCTAAGGAGCCTAAAAGATCATGAAGATGATGAGAAAATTAAGAGAGAAGAAATTATGGTGCGTGTAATTCCAACAACTGAACCACATTAACTGTTCTTGATATGTGATATCATTGCCCAAAATCATAGCATAGTCACGTTAATGACCTGCCAAGTATGACCTAATACGCTTTTGATGTAACTGTTTGTTTAAAGCTCACAATGAAATCGTTACTGAATAGCGAACTCGTAATACGTACCATAGTATAAATAAATTCAGTAGGATTTGGAAAACGATGAAACAATCATCAAGGGATTAATATTGTGGTTTGTTTGGTAGAATAGGAGCGAGTTTAGCGAGTTTGCAACCAAAATAATAATATGCAGTCTGATTTATAAAAGTGATAATCTGTACTTATAATAAATCTGTAGAGAGGTCAATTCTGTACATGAAATATATTTTCAAAATAACTATCAGGGGGTGATTAGTGATCGATACTGATGCCAAAAATGCAATCAGTAAAATTTTTGTCTGTCTGTCTGTCTGTCTGTCTGTCTGTCTGTCTGTCTGTCTGTCTGTATGTTCCTTATAGAAACAAAAACCACTTGACGGATTTTAACGAAACTTGGTACAATTATTCTTCATACTCCTGGGCAGGTTATAGGATACTTAGGAATTCCCACGGGAACGGGAATTAGCGGGAAAATCCTTTTGTACGAAAAATCTAAACCGCTTAAGTTAGACGCTTGAAATTTGGCATGCAGGTACCTTAGTAAACTTAAAGCTTAGTTACAACAGGATATTGCAAAATTCCCATGGGAACGGGAGTTAGTGGGAAAAAACATTTGTATGAAAAAATCTAAACCGCGTAAGATATACTCTTGAAATTTGGCATGNTTAGGTATTGAGACAATATTTGACAGATATTAGGTACACATGACAGGACATAGGAAATATAATAGTTTATCATTCTGTGATACATTATTTTTTGTATATGAGCAAGTAGGTACGATTCTTATCAATAGTGTGCTAATCGGTGCATTGGCCTGGCATATACCCGTATTGTGAAGACTGGTGCCTGAAGTAGGTTCTTAAAGAGCCTGTATTACAGGTCACCAGTTGATAATATCTTATCTAGGTACCTCAGACATTGTTGAGTCAAGCGCTAGATCTATAGTATTTTCTTTTTAGTTTTTCGTGTATTTCAGAATTTTAATAAAGTCGAGTCATTAGTCAGAGTCATTTCTATTCTTTCACGTTTAAAAAAATTTGTAACTAAAATGTAACAGGACGTATTCTTTGCTCGCCAGTGTATTAATGGTACTATCCGTCATAATAGTATTATACGGTCCATTGTTGTGGCACTCAAACAATGCGTTTATCTTGATCGTGACATAAAGTGTAATAACGCAGCGGGATTTACACTGTTCTATTAAGTTTCATGAAAAATTGTGTAAATAAAATTCCAGGAGGATTTTTTAACAGACGAATAACAAATCGTTTGAATGTGGATCTGGGGAGCTTACAGCTAAAGTTCCAGTAATTTATTTTAAAAACACCTGTATGTAAATGATCTGATGCTTAATTTGTGTTATAATTGCATAGTTCGTAGTTATGATTGATTCTATAAGATTCCCGAACGGACATGGACAACTTTTAGGAAAGTGGTAAAATATTGAATTTTCAATAAAAATGTCTGCGACTTTGTACAAGAGGAACATAAAGTCTAGGAAAATAATTGCGAAAGAGATATTAGATAGGACTGCAAATGTCTAGTAAAAATTAATTTGACATGTCATGAACAGTTTTGTAACCTGGGGGCTATAGCGTCTCTAGCGGACACTTTCAAGAAAATTAATCTAAATCTTCATAGTTTTTTTTTGACGCAGTCGCTAACGACTATTTTCAATGCAAACTCGCACTAAGCACACTATTATGTTTTGTATAGCATAATGAATGACTACAATAAAATCGCAATAGGTACTACGAGTATGAGTAACTTATTTTCCGTGGCATGTAAAAGCCACTTTAAGTATCAATTTACTATCGAGGATGGGAGCCGACACGACTTGACAATAACTCGATTTCTGCCGAAATAATTAAAACCAAGAGAGCATAACTTTGCCTCAAGATATATTTATATTACGTATTCATTGTTACTATAATTAGCTGAATACTGTTTTCTTTATTTAATTTTGAATTGAATTAATTAATTACAATTAGACAAGTCACGATGTTGAGATGAACAAAAGATTATTGTGATATAAGCGAACTTATCTTGTTTCAATCTTTGCTATCTGTATACGATCTATTACATGAATGAATTATTAAGAGTAAGCAAATTGATACATTAAAGATCATTTTTTTTTGGTTCTTTATACCTGTATCCACACGTATACCTGCTTCTTTATTATAACAACACTATGTACCTATTTTGTAATGGTGATATGTACCTAAAATAAAACTTGTGAAGTTGAATTTCTTTTTTCATAGTTTTAGATTACAAAATTCCTGTTAAGCTTTATAAGCAAGTGGTGAACCAGGCCCCCAAAGTAAAACTACGTAAGTTAATTTAGCAAAGGAAATTGATACCTTTTCAAGGAACAATAAATTAAGATTGGAAATAAAATATCTCATTTTAAGAAGTGTACAATATTTATTCTTTGATTGCGTCATAATACAACTAAAAACTTATTATAAGTCATGGCACTAAGCGGTTAACATTCATCACTATACTATCCATATTTGGAATTCCTCAATACTTTGAAACTTGAATACTGATTACAAACTATACTTTCAAAGACAGAAATAACTTAGTCAACTTACCCAAAACAAACCTTCGTCGATTTTAAACCTTTACCCAAAGATAAAAAGTTCAAACTCCATTGGAAAATTATTTTTTTGAGGCAAATTGATCTGACAGCGATCTTATTAAAATAGCGAAAGAATGAAGTTAAAATTAAGTAAGTATATTAATATAGTCAGCTCTTTCTAGTTTTTTAACACTTTTTAACCGATTTCAAAAAGAGGAGGTCCTCAATTTCTCAGTTAAAAAGTATTGAGGAACTCATGTCAATACAGATGCAAGTTTGTCTTAGAATCGGTAAGGCTGAACCCTGGGACGGATGAAAGCCGAGGGCTGCTGGTAGTTGCGAGCGACCACCACCCCTGGGCTGTATTTGCCTTCATTGTAGCTGCCTGTAATCAAAATGTAGAGATTTTTAGATTTAAGAACAGAATTGGAATAAAAAGTATGAAGGTTTCATTAATATTTAGGTACATAGGGAAGTATATCTTGATACAGACTTGCCTATACCCTGCTAGAGAATGGGCATCGGGAAATCAAAACAAAAAACGTTAAAACCATTTGTCTATAACTGACGCAAGATGGCGGTTTCCAATACGTTTTTATAGCAAAAGTGGTCAACTGATTTCTTATTTTACTACTGCGCCTATTGTCCAGGGTCTACAGCATTTCCACCAAAGAAATACACAATAATCTTCGTCAATTAAATACACGAACTAGTGGCGTCATTGAGTCCCTTTGCCATACAAAATCTATGGTAGAGTCGTTTTTTGCATTTAATAAAAACTATGTCAATTGAATAGTTGGAACACCACTACCCAACGCATTTGATCATCTTGAGGCGCACCAGCGCCGCCAAGACAGGAGTCGAAATTGGTCGGATGAATCATCATCATCACTCAATGAGGCTATCGTTTTAGCGCTCACCAGTTAGCGCCACTGTAGAGTAAGGTCCTGTCACTTGCTAGTAGCGAAGACAGTGGCGCCAACTTGTGAGCGCTAAATTGGTAAGAGGACTATCGTATTTGCACTCATCAAGATGGCGCCACTGTAGAGTAAGGTCCTGTCAATCGCCAGGTGTGCCAACTGTTAAGTATAAAAACGATAGCCCCCATTGACTGAGTTTCCTCAACTCAAGCGTGAACTTGCAAGTGCGCATAAGTTGACATCTTTCAATTGCATCTTTATTTTTATTTCGATCGCGAAATCTTTTTAATAGGAAAATCGAAAAGTGCCAACTTGCGAGTGTAAGTTATGACAAAAGAGAAATGCCACAAGAGCGTTGAATTTGCGTTGCGCAATCATCGTGCTGAAAGTGGCATCTCTCTGTCAGTCTAACTCACCGTCGTCAAAGATGCCATTGGCCTCATCCCTGGCGTTCTCCTGGAGGGCGCGGGCGATGGCCTCTGGGATGGGGGGAGGGGTGGGGATGTGGGCACCCTGGGGCTGGAAGCCGTTCACGTCAGCTGTGTACCGCACGCTGTATACCTGGAAATATGGAAGATGGGCTTTAGATTTAGAATCAGAATGATGATGAGATGATGGTAGGTATGTCATATTTGTTTAATCATTGACTGTCATTCTCGTAAGTTAATTGATCTTCAAGCTATTCAAGACATTTTGAGAACTAAGAATCACGTTCTAATTGAAATCAGGTTGTTAACGACTAAATATTTAACTAACTATTGGTTACATATAACATAAAGATCTAAATATTGTAAACTACATTACGAATTCAAATTCTGTATTAATTTACCTAGTACCTGTATTTGTAGGCCCTTTTCAGGGCACTTGTATACTTTTAATCTTAGCAATTAGAGTTGCTTCTCAAACTAAATAAATAAAACTTGAAAAAATCGAACTGTCTCGAATAAGTCTGTGTCAAATTATTTGACTGGCTGTACCTAAAACTATGATCTCTTGTTATTTTTCATAAAAAATAATGTCACAAAGGTGTTAATTATTAGGCTGCACGCGATAATTTATCCACTTTACGCGTCGGAAGTTATGTTTTTACTAAGAACGTAGATTTAATTAAACTCTCTCTAATTATGAATCGGAAGAACTACGCTTCCTTAGATATGTATCACCTTAATAAATAACGTTTGCATTGATTTAAAATGAGACTTTAATTAGTGAATGCGCTTTTTGCTTGTAGGTCCGTGAGTATCTTCCAATTAATTAAAATATATACGTTTCCCACATTTGGCGATTCGATTTTTTCAAGTCATAAAATTATATTTGTTCCAAAGTTTCAGATCGCAAGGTCTGAATACCGTAGAGCTTTTTTGTTACTACTTCATTTTACTTTCTTGATTTAAAAGTTCACGATTAAATTCACAGTTGAGACGCGTAGTTACTCGTATGGTTAAGCGTTGAAACGACCTAACTGTTCGAATGTCTATGGTTTTTTCATTAAAAAGTCGTTAAAGTTCTTAGAAAGAGATTCATTGAATCTTCTACAAAATTATCGCTATAATCGCCCTTGCAATAAGTTGCAAGGGCGAATTTAGCTTAGTAAAGAATGCGTTGTATTCAACACTAGCTGACCCGGCGAACTTTGTTCCGCCTTAATGGCAATAAATAACGGGATAAAAAGTATCCTATGTCCTTCTCCTGGCTCTAAACTACCTCCCTGACAATTTTCAGCTAAATCGGTTCAGCCGTTCTTGAGTTATAAGTGGAGTAACTAACACGACTTTCTTTTATATATGTTACGGTCAAAGTGATAAATGTGAAAAATATGAATAATCGCCGGTTATTATGAATAATTACCGCATGATTTGGTAAATGTGATTAATATCAGATCATTTATGTGTGTATAAAACTAAATAGGCGGCTTAGGGGTGGCCCAAGGGCCACCCCCGCCGCACCTTAACCTATTTTTCACTTTAAATCAAAACATTATGTTATGGGCATCATGGAAAAGTAATATTATGTAAGAAACATTCCAAACTCATTATGCCAAATTATATTAATATATGATATCAAAACGTTCAAAAATTTTGGCTGTACAAGAGCAAGTACGCAAGATGTTGTTCTCTTTTATGATATTTGTTAGTACTAAGTTTGAATGATTAAATAATCACTGTTAAATGTTATTAATTTATCACTTTTACCGCGACTGCCGGTAATTATTCATAATGACCGGTTATTATTCATAATTTTCAATTTATCACATTAACCGTAACATATATATAGATAATGGATAATAGAATCAATTTTCAACGAACCTGTCCATCATCACCAGTGTAGGAGTATCCACCTTGAGCCTGGATGCCGTTGGATTCTACCCCGGTCTCCTCAGCCTGGATACCTGGAATGATATATTGGAATTTGAGACTATTTTCTAGAACTCTATCGGTTACGTAGTTGTCTAAAGAACCCCGTAGTTTTTATTAATGCTGATATAGATTTAAATCTAGATTAAATCTGTCCATATCTAATAATAAAGGGATTTAGGAGATAAAGGACATTATTTTGAAGATTCGAGTATAAATACGTACTCTATTAAAATTTTTGGTAAGAAATAGTTATAAAATCGTGCGATCGACAGATAAAAACTTTTAAAATAGGCTGGAATTCATGCGAGAGAAGCCGAGGGCTAAGATAGGAAATAATCATCATTAATCATTATGACATCAAATTATAATACAAGACATCTATGAGCAGTTCAAGCTAAATGTCAGTCACCTATCCTTCCGATTATACTTCTAGAAGCTAAATTAAAAATAAAAGCTTCTGTCAACAAACCTCAGAACTGAAATCCATGAATTATTTTTTCAAGGAAGTAAACAAGTCTTATAGCCTTATCATATCGAACTAAGTATTACATATCACTCACCGTTCTCAGTGTCATACGCGAAGTGGTATCCCTGTTCACTGACGTCATTGACTGACCGCAAGATGGCCGCGTTCCTCTCCAGTGACGCCCTAGGCCTGACGTCCTGGTAGTAGGAGGGGGCGGTTCTGTACTGGGGCAGAAATTGGGGGGCGGGGCCCGCGGCACACGCGCCCAGGATCGCTGTGATGATGAGCTGAAATATAATTTTTAGGATTATATTCTAATTTGTATGTAAAGGCAACCGTTACTGATGAATGAAAGGATTGAATGGATTACGCTGAACTTTAGCACGCTGGTACTTATTGTGATACTAATGCCCGTTTTCACCATCAATCCCTAATTTTTGAGTGACCCATATGAAATAAAAAATCCTGTTAAGTGTTACCATAAGGGTCACTTATAAATAAAGGATTGATGGTGAAAAAGGCATAAGAAAGGATTTTTCCAAAATTCACCCCTAAAAGGATGAAACGGGAGTCCATAAGTTTAACGTGAGCGAATAACAGTAAAAAAAATTGCTTACTGCATTATTGTTTATGTTCAAATTATAATAAGTTAAACTTTATTCATTGATATATTTTAAAAACAGAACACAAATAGCTGTAAAGAGATAAATAAAGTTTAATTGAAACAAAGTTTCTATTGTAATTAAGCCTACGCGTGCTTTCATGTGTTATTGGTTTAAAATAAGGCAGATTTCCTCAAATAGGTCATTTAGAATGTTATTTTCCATGAAACGTTTTTTTGATCTTATATTTTATCTAATTATTAATTTATTAAATGCTCTAGTGATTTGCCATGACACTTTTATATTAGTCAGAAACACTTAAAATTATCGGCATAGTAAAAAGTTAAATAAGTTTTCCATTGTTAACTTCACTTTACATAAATAGAGCAAATTCAAACTATTATGCAAACTACAAAACGAAGATTTTTAACAAAACACCGATCCCAAATCAGTTCACTGTCTTCACGATTCACTTCAACGTGACTAGCACTTCCTTTATTTCTAAACAAGATCGGTTTACTAACCAATTTCATGTTGATGCTTCTAGGTCTGATGGTGGAATGTAGCTGGTCTGCTCTCCGTTAGCTTATATACGTGGCTCCAGTCAATCAGCTCTCAATGTCAAGGTTTCGAAGTAGGATGTCTTAGGATGCATCTATCGAACGCGTACAATGCGAACTTGTGATTGGTTTTTGACATTTTTGGATGGCGAAACGTTGATGGAATTTTGGTGAATAGGACAGGTGTGGATGATGGGTGCTATTGTGGTTATAAATAGGTTTTTATTAGGGTTTCTGCTCGAGCTTTCTCGAACTCGAGAAAACTCGAGAAATTTGGCTTCATTCGAGACGAGAAAAAAATTACCGGAGCTCGAGAATTCTCGAGTCTCGAATTTGAAGCTTTAATATTCTTGAAAGCCTATTTTCTTAGACAAAAGTAAGATTTTAATTATTTAATAGGTGAACGTTGCTTTTAGACTGGTCTGGTCTTTCCTTTTTTTACCCTACTGCGTGACGCAAAGGAGTGATAATGTGTCTCCTGGGTCGATTTTTATTTATTTATTTATTTATTTATTTATTTTATTGGGCTATCAATCGATTCCTCTCAGTCCGGCGAGTGTCACTAAAGACTATCGTTAGATTTGTTTTAACTGTAAATATATTAACATGGCCGATTTTTGGCGCTATAATATGTGTTAAAAAAATATCTCAAAACCTATCGAGTGGGGTATCAAAATAAAGGGTTTTTAAATAGCTTGCAAAATGTATTTTCTTTAACTAAAAGTTTAAAATAAAAATATTATTGAAAAAAAAAACCCCAACTGGGTAAAAATGAACTGAGAAGATAAAAACAAGACAGTGTTCACAAATGCAGTCGGAAGCATCAAACACGTATCATCATCATCATCATCAACAGCCCTTTACAGTCCACTGCTGGACTATGAGCCACCTCCGCGGGAAGAGTAGGGGTTGGTGACAAATGTAAATATTCTATTCTGCCGTCACCACACGGCTTATCACCCACTACTTATCACCAACAAAAAAAATAGTCATTGATGCCTTCGACTGTATTTGTGAACACTTTGTCTTGTTCCTATCTTTTCAGTTCATTTTTACGTAGGTAGTTGGGTTTTTGTTTTTTTTTACATTAGATTTAAAAAAACATGTTTTTAGCAAATTTCAATCGATTTCAACAATTTTAATTAAAATACTCGAGACCCAAGAAAACTCGAGACTTTGGCCTCGAGAATTCCCGAAACTCGAGAAAAAAAATAGGTCGAGAAATCAGAAACCCTAGTTTTTATTGATCTGATATTAGATAAAGGTTTGTTGATATTTTAATTTGCTGATAGATAAATTGAGATACAATTGGTATAGATAGATACCGACTCTACATTTATTACACACCATACAAACAATTAATAATGATGACAATTACACACAAATAAATCGTACATTTTGACAGTCTTTTGGGTAAGAGAGATCTTTATCAGACAGCCTAGGGAGGGAAAAGTTACCTATTATATTATTTAACCCTTAACCAGGCTCTGGTATCCACAGAGACCACATCAATTTGAACCTTATGCTGTGAAGATCTTACTTTTTTTAGATCTGGTTAAGGGTTAACTTTAGATTATAAACTAAATTACATCTTATCACAATACCACGCGAGCTAACAGCTTGCTGAAACCCTATAGTTTATAGACCCCTCTATTCATCATGCTAATAGGTACTGTAGTATTTTTAAAACTGTCATTTATCACAGTAAAATCAACTTAAAATGCCAGAAAGTGATTTATCATCGGTAGTTGTGGGCACTGAAGCCAATAAATTATAGTTAGTCCTCCAAAGGGCAGAATTAACTTTGTATAATCTTGAACTGATAGATTTTTAGCACATTTTCTGTTCTTAAATATGTAAAATTAATCTTCTTCTCTTCGCAACCATTACACATTATTCAAACACAAATCAGTTTATTTGAATACATAAGTATTGTGTTTGTTTCAAGTCATGTCAAGCCTATGGAATCTGATAATGTCTGACACCAAGGTTTCAATATCAGTTGTCACTTTTGGTTGTGTCACTTACGCATGTTAAAACCTTGGGAGAATCCATAGAAAATGCATTGTTATTAAGACTTAATTAGGTTACCAGTTAAAACAAGAAGTTTTGCCTCAGTTCAATCCTATTGTTGACATTTCATAAATTGGGTCTTAGGCTGAGTTTCACCACCTAACTTTGACCGTAACTATAACGATAACCAGTGTTTTTTGTATGGAGTTTGACAGATTTTTGACGTTTGTCAAAGTTAAAGTAAAATGGTGCAACCCAGCCTTAGATTTAAATAAAAACATTAAAAGCTCTTCAAGGAAAAAAGAGGTTGTCTGAACAGATTATAAATCGTCCGATGGTTTTCGAGATTAAATCGACACAGACAGACGAGTAAGATGTATTTTATATGTTTTGAATAGATTAAGGACAATTTCAAAGTTCTTCAAAAGGTCAGCTTTGTTGGGAACCATTTTTATTTTATGTTTAATTAACATTTGGATCTTATGCTTTTAATTATTAAAGTAAGTGCTCGACTATTTTATTGTGCCACGGAAATTTGTAGATCTATATTAATAACTAGCGGCCGCCCGCGACTTCGTACGCGTGGATCCCATTTTACCCCCTTAGGGGTGGAGTTTCGTAAAATCCTTTCTTAGCGGATGCATTGATTGACTGACTGACTGACATAGTGATCTATAAACTCACAGCCCAAAACACTGGACGGATCAATCAATGAATATAATTATGTTTATTTATCTATCAAGTTCTAGAAAAGGTTGCCATTCTACAATATCTTTATGCATCGTGAACCCCCTTTGTGAACTAATAAAACTATAATAAAACTAGATTAGGTACTTAGCTTTAAAACATCTTGGCATTTTTTTAGAGGTCAGTACTTAATAACATTAGAAGATCTTGACAATGGAATTCCTACTAAAATATACAAAAAATCTACATAATATGTCTTAATTTAATCAAATTCCGACCAAATTCTTTAATCGCAACAGCGATCCTTAATCACCCACAATCTACAGAATAGATCAAATCGCTTTTTTCGAAACGAATTCGAAATCGAAATAGAGAACCATCAAATTACTTTTAATGCCTCATCTGAATATCCGATCGAATATAGTTCAATTTGGCGTTTAGCAATCTGGTAGTTCACGCGTGTGACCAAATAACTGGATGAATACTCCGCGCCAACAATGCCAAACAACATTGACACCAAGCTGTCTATCAGCGTGTTTCTGAATTTAGGTTTTAAGTTTGAAAACGCTCATTCTCTACTCAAGTAAGTATGATTTAAGCCTATTTTCGTTTTTGAATTATCCTAAATTGATTTGAGATTTCTCAAGCCAAATTCTCAAAGTTGAATTACTTGTACTCTCAATTCAGAACAAAGCTTAAGTTCACAAATAAAAAATGAGCACGCTCAAGCTAAAAGTCTCAGTTCACAAGCCGGAGGTATGACAAGTCATTCTCTGTATGAGTCTATTTTTCATCATCATCATCATCCGATCTTTAGTATCCATGGCAGGAACACGACCTTAATTTAGAGGAGAGAAAAATGGAGGCTTTGGTCTTCACTTCCCACAATGATCAGACAGATTGGGGAGGCCTGATATTCACATAGGGTAAGTCCAGGATAGATGCCCCACTTTTTGAAACAGCTCTGTAACTCAGTCAGTAAGTTTTTATCAACGATTTGACCTTAGTATCTGTAAACTTTGGTCTTTCGTCTATGATATTACTATAATTATTTTACTTTAAGTTATACCGATTCTGAGTAAATACCATTTTAAGTGACCTCTAAAAAGTGGGATAGACGCCTAATGTGGGGGATAGAAGACTCACTGAATGATTGCTTCAAAGGATAGATGCCTGATGGAGGGATAGATGACTCGTTAATACAGTTTTTGAATTCTAAGGATAAAATGCATTTTGAAATCAAACAAGCCAAGTATTATTATTTAAGATTGTTTGTTATTAAATGAATTAAAAATGAAAATTCATATTTTTTATTAAAAATAATACTACTCCTTCTAGCGCAGTCAGGTAAAAAGGTAATTCGATCAGAAGGGCATCCTATTTATTACTTTCCTAAGGTTAGCCGTACTACATTCTTTTTTTCTTCTTGCTTGCTACCTGTGACAAAAAGAGCAGGTTAGGATAGATGCCCCTAGGTGCATGAGACATGGCCCTAAGGGCATCTATACCCAAAAAAAATTAGGCAACTATCCTTTTAGCATAGGATAGGTGCCGTTTTTAATAAAAAATATAATAACACTAAAAATAGAATTAAACATATCTATCCCGTATAATTTATAAGATAGTCTATCAAATTATATAAAAATCTGCTTCATTTTACAGCTGCCAAAAAAATTATCCATTAAAAAATACTTACCAATATCATTTCGACGCTCGCAAAGGTCTGACCGCGGAAGATTTTTGCTCTCACTGGCTAAACGAATGCACTCTTTGATGGTTTGCGAGGCGAAAAGTGGTACGGGGAGGTCCCTTTCTATTATACGTACTATAACTTTAGGCTAAGTTGCTTGTAACATAGTGTACTTAAAATCGCGGCACCTATCCCACTGGGGCATGTATCCTGGAATTACCCTATTTCTCCCTTTTAATCTCCTCCAGAGTGATCCGTCTAAAGTTTAAATAAATATAATATGAATATTATCTATCTTACTCTTATTTTGGAGACCATATTTTTTATTTTACTGTATGTGCAAAATTGCCAGTCTCTATTAGCGCGATCATAGTAATAGGTTGAGTTTCGACACAGCTCATCTCTACCACATTCGTACCGATTGCATATCAGATATTGTTCTTAAGATAACGGTATATTTGGAAGGTTACTTCATGGTGATTAACCAAATAGAAATAGTAGTTCTTGTAGTAACAACTAAGGTCATAACCCTAGTGTGAAATTTAATGAAGTTTAAGTGTCTGGCATGGCTCAATCATACTCCTAACGAATCATAGAATCATATCACTTTTTCAGGGACGGTCAGCCTTTTAAACGTA